TTCTTCTCTCTTCCATTGAACAATTCATTTTCTCAAAACAATCACATTGGAATTTGAGGCGTTGTTGGCAAGAAATTGGATAACTATATTGAAGAACTGAAGACAGAATCTGTTTGGTAAAATGTTTCTTTTTCAAATACTATCGTTGATGTCAAGTAGGTACACCAGGGTAATCGATTGGAGTCAAATATAACTTATTCTTTGGGTCATAAATTAAGGATGTCTGTGTCTCTCAAGTGTATGTTGAGTGATACACTTTGGATTATGAGACGTACTGAAAACCGCATCACCGTAGCAGGGGTGGAAGTAAGGAGAGGGAAAGGGGTGGCCTCAGAGGCTGCAGCCCACTATCAGAATCCTTACTACGTATTCCCAACATTTCATAGATATGAAATGACAAACTCACTGAATAAATTCGCTGATCTTCTCCTAGGCTTATACATCCATGCAATCTCTTGTCAAAAGTATCCTTGGTTCACCTCTAGCTGCATGCATTGCAAGATAAAAATAACTATTGTATAGGCACCCTTACACCCAAAATAAATAAATAACTCAATATATATTAATAATAATGATGATGATGATGATAATGATAATAATAAGAAGAAGAAGAAATTCTTATATAGCGCACTAAGCTGACGTCTCAGTGCGCTAGGTGACATAAAATGAAATATACATATATATACGGAACTTAATATGAGATTATTAATATGAGACACCATCTGCTGAAGTATTAGTTTGCGGAAGAAGTACAAGTAGCAACGCTTAGCCTCATAGACAACATTTTAATTGCTCGCCACACAAGTTGAAGGGATAATCAAACTGACCGTTAGTGTCAATCAACTTTAAGCACTTAAAGTGACCGGCCAGAATACCCTTTTCCTCCGCAAACTTGTATGACCGGTTCATCGTCCATAATCTGAATTTCCCAACAGCCAAACCCTTTGAGGAACCGGGACCCAGCAGAGCTTAAAAAACTTTACTCTAGACTTAACATGTTAACAGGTTCGTAAGACATGTGCATTGCGGTACTGCAGTTTGAAGTTTGAAATTACCAACTAAAATTTCTTAAACAACCGTCGATCGTCTATCGCGATGCGAAACCTATACGACCGAGAAAGACTGGAGATAGGATCCTTTGGAACCCTGGGTATGCATCTACGATTGCTATGAAGCAAACCAATAAAAGAATCAGTATATAGCCAGTCTTCACTAGAATGAAACAGCGGTAATTTGGTATGTTTATTGTGCAAGGGTTCCAAAAATTAGCTCATAGCGCATGCTCATGGCTTTGMCCTTCTTGTACTCAGTACAGTTTTGTTGATCCCAGTTTTTGTTTTCTTTCTTCCAATTTTTCTCACCCTCCAATAGTAGACACATTTACTAAATTACATCCTTGCAAAGTGTTTTTAGGCCCCAAGTTTCAGAAAACTCGTCCCTCATCGAAAAGAAAGTGACATGTGTTCGTAGGCTCAAGCGACACAGCCCACATTTCGGGTATGCTGGTAATAGCAAGGGGTTAATCATCTACGGTCTAGGGGCCGACTAACCTCTCCCTTAGGCTTTCGGCCGAGCTTCCTGATCAGTCTGTAATTCCAAGGATAGCAGGTGTCGGGGCCGAAATTTCCGGCGTAGCCGTAAATGCYTCGCGCTGCCATACGACGGTTCAGCATTCGATGTCTGGAAGTATGGTCCTGATTGTTTTGAATTAATGAATACAAATAAAAAGTATCTCTGTCTTCTTTGCATGGGACAAGCAGAATTCTAAGCCGGTTGACCAGGCATGGGCGATTGAGGTGGGTCCCATCATAAGACCGTCAACTTGGACGRATAGACATCCAACACTACTGGTGCCCCGGAAGCCAACGTCATCAACCCAGCCCCATACGACTCAGGAAGTGTCTGCTATTTTATTGGGTTGACGAATTCTTCCTTTTGCATTTACTCTAAAAATCTAACAGSCCTATGAATCTTGTATATTAAACCAATTTTCTTGTTCCAAACGTTTTCTCCTTATCGAATTACAGAAGAAGCAAAGAGAAGACTAAGGCTGAAAAGGAAAAGAAAAGAAAAAGTTTCAAATGCCACGTATTTCATCAGTTCCTTGAAAAAATAGCGGACAAATTCCAGAGAAGCTGTTATTTAACAAGAGTACGATCAATCGTCCWGTATCTGTTTTATTTTAAAGTGTTTTTTGATAATAATATGACTAACGTCTAAGAGGGCACTGGGGCACTAGAGATGCATCGGTGTAATATTTCACAACGTCTAAACTTTCTCCTCGAGAATAATGCCTGGATGAAGTACGTTTTCCCGACTATAAACTGGCTGCCAAAGTTTCCTTGATTGCTGGTTTAACTGGTGGATTTTATATCAACACATCCAAGCMTTCGAACTATAGAACGGCACAAGCAAAGAATGGCTAATGAATGGCAAATGAAGATACTCCTTGTCTTTCTGGTGTTGATTGGATGTTGTGACATGGTATTTGGTGAGTTACTGTAAACTGGTTTCACAGCCAGTAATTTATTTGTATGATCATATTAAGTTTCGTTACTTTGATGGGTTAATTTTCCTCTCTGTGGGTATTGATATACTGCTTGTTAATACATAGAGACAGTGTGTAATCTAAAGGATGGAACAAATGTTCCTTTATATGCTTAATGAACTGAATGAAGTGGACGCCTCAGTATACATGCGCGACTTAGTGCTTTATCAAACAGATCGRAGCTTGCGTTGCGCGTAAATGAGGGTCTACTAAAATATAGAGTTGTCCAAGCCGTAAAATGGTAACAATCAAATGACCGTGCCTACGGATAAATGTATATTTTTTCAACAAGCAAGCAAGTGGAAGCAGATACTTATCACACAAAGCCTTCGTTGTTTCAAAACCTTAAGTGTATTTATGACACTGTTTGTGCGACTATCGAGTCTAATACTTCAAAGACAAATAACCCTGCAGACCCGATGATATCCGAAAGTATAATTTCATATTATGTTGCGTCTATATTTGTCATTAAAGTATAATCAAAATACATATAAAACATAAAAAGCATATGAGAATGTCTGCTAACATGAATGTCTTTGCCCACCAACTACATTTAGTTGTTGATTGCATCCAWGTATTGTTAAAGCCTTTTGACTTTATATGATACATATATGATGTTATCTGCTTTAGATTTAAACTTCACATACTGATTTTAATAGTGATATTTAAGTAGGTAAGTGAGGGAGGGGGGTTCTAGTTGGTAAGGGTGTCAAAGCTAAAAATAGGATAATGCAATTGATATTAATTTACTATATAACAAAGTAGTTTAAGGCAATTTACTTAATAATAATAATACTTTTATTATTATTATCATTATTATTATCATTATTATTATTATCATTATTATTATTATTATTTAATACTACTTATAGGGTGCATTTTCCATGTCGAAATGATGCCATCGAATGAATGCGCCATCACTTATTATAGAAACCCCAAAATATAGAGTTAAAAGAAGTATAGAATTTTCATTAGCTTTTTTAAGTCTTCCATTATACTGAGTCGATGTCTTGACCTTATCTGTGATTCCATCTCGCCTTACCTCGCCCCAGCCAATGTAATGTTTATATATATTTTTTTGAAACACCATAATTAGAACGTTTTCACAGCTTTATCGATAACTGGTTTTCACCATAAAAGGATGAGAAAGTCATCGTTTGGAAACCTTTTGAATTTCAAGATATTTTGCAATTTTGATAATAATCTCATTAGCAGAAATCTTTACATCTAGAGAATCCACTGGAACTGTCTGTTGATAGGCACWAAGACTATTCCACCCTTTACACATGACATTTTGCTTGGAAATTGCGACAAGAAATCTAAAGGTGAATTTACAGTTTGAAACGGCTTTGATAATACTCTATGTAATTGATTTTTTWAAAAAGCAAACACTCTGATAGGGTACATCTCTTAGTAACCCACGCATGACGGGTCAAGTAGACACATCCATAGAGCTGATCAGTCTCGTACTCTTCTTCTTATCAGCAAGGAAACCTGGGAAATGTCCAAGCAAAAGAAGAGAGAAAATATGTCAAGATGGAGAGGCTGAATGCGTAACCGATAAAGACTGCGCTGGCTTGAAAAAGTGTTGTGTTACGAACTGCGTTAAAAGATGTGTTGCTCCTATACCAAGTAAGTGGGCATTTTATCAATCCCATCGATAATTAGAGTGTATCAGACGACGCACTAGTGACMGTTAAGGGAAGGTCTTTGCTGCGAAAGTAGAAAATAAGAGGAGAAAAGGGAGAGAAAGGAAGAAAATTACCTTGAAAAGCATATACCTGCATGCGTTTCACGCAGCTATTCACTTATTGAGCATAATGCAATAKTTTTTTTAAGAGTTTAAAGTAAATCCATTCAAATATGAGAACATATATTCCTTCAACATTTCAGAACCCTATCAAAAAATATCTCCACGAACCTCCCTTGTCAATGAAGGTCAATCCATCATAATAGGCTGTCACCTTGAGTATCAACAGTTTGAGGGTTGGTATGRACCAAGTGGGCAGAAAATCATGTCTCAATCAGAAACTGATAACATCTACTACCATAAAGACGCCAACAGTCCTCAATGGTTCCTTTCTATTAGGAAAGTCCATGTCAAGGATGGTGGGACGTACACTTGTCGTGGAACCATGACTATGGATGTRCACAAGATTCATATTCGATGTAAGTTTGAACTTTTTTCTTTTTGCAGTTTCATTATCCACCAGTGCTGGCAATTTTAGCACGTATAAACTAGTAGACTTTAAATTGGTTGTGAGTCCTGAATGGCTTCGTTTCTCTAGGTCTATGATTTATATCTCACTCGTAGACTAGCAATGCGAGAACGCCTAAAACCTGGTAGGCATGCAATCAGATTACTAGTAGGTCACTGACGTCATGTACCGCGCAAGATGTTAAAATGGCTTTCTGGCGTTTTAATTAACCTCGGGGTTTTTCAGCCCCCATTTTAGTTTACTTAAAACTGACTGAGGTTGTGAGATCAGAAGAAGAGAGCTTAATTTAATAGTTCATTTGCAATAAACAACCACGACGTCGTGCTGATRTATCACTTTGATAACAAATCAATTMAGCCAAAGGTCCTTTGGGGAAGGCTCTACTGGATGGCAAGGTTTGGATATGACATTAGTAATCCAGCATAATTGATTTAAATATAAAGGAAGTCCGATTTGTTTTGCAATTGACGATTTTCACGGCGGCCATGTTGGAGGAACTTAACAAAAAAATTGTCAATGAATTCTAGTATTTTGTTRTATCCTCCAACATGGCCGCCGTGTCTTTTGTTATTTAATTCTCTTGGGAATGGTTGAAAACCATCAATTCAGTTACAGTCGTGTGATTATTTCCTGCAAATGGTCCCATGCACACCAAAAACGTTTGAATATACCACTTCTAARTACGCACGTAACTAGCTTATCTTTTCTCCTTTCTTTAATACCAGTTACACTTGAAAATCTGGTACGAAAGCAATTCATCGAGGAATCAAAAATAGGTATCATTGAAGTATCTGTGAAGGGCTATCCGACACCACAGTACATTTGGAAAAAAAATGGTCGTGAAATAGACCCAACAATTGGACGGTTCASCATAAGCCCAAGTGGATCACTGAGCATCAAAGATGTAACTACGATAGATGAAGGAACATATGAGCTTACAGTGAGATCTGAYTCAACCAAACAGGCTCAGCTGGAATATATTCAAGTGTTTGTTATTTCAGGTAACTGTCTTCTTGTCGTGCACATCTCGTTATAACTGCAGTTTTAAAAATGCACGCAAGGGGTACCAGAAATAAACGCTAGTTCTCCCTTTCCCTCGTAGGATGTGGAGATTTAATTTTCTCCGAACCTTTTTATCAAAAAGAGCTACGACTTGCCTTGCAGGATGGAATCAACCCACCTGTTTATTTAACGAATTATGTTCAATCTAGGTTTCTATTTGCATTTAACGGAGCAACTCTACGTTCCTTTATCCAGTACACTCAACACTGTATCCTCAAGCTGTTACTTCTCTCACTTCTCTTTTCGTATGTATATTTGTGTATATTTCTATTTTTTYAGAGGATTGCCCGCTGCAAGCAGAAAACCTAATTACTCAAAGARGTTGTAGTTCTAGCATATTTGATAATTGTGTGAACGATGAAGGCTGTGGGTACAAGTACTGTTGCTTTGACAATTGTAGAAGAAGATGTAAAGGACAACTGTTCGGTAGGTTTAAAAACATGCGATCTAGATCTTTGCCTTTGAGACCCATTTACATGATAGCGTCATTTACTACGTTACATACTACTATTAAACCCTTGCACATTCTTTCCTCGGTTACTTTCGCTATTCTTACGA